GATGATGATACTAACAATACTACTACTACTAATGATGATGCTAATAATAATATTAATATTAAAAATACATCGTTTGAAGAGTAATTGTTTGAGGAGTATAAAGAGATTGAAGAAAATGAGAATGTTTGGATAAAACTAGAGAAAAATTAAACTAGAAGAAACTGAAAAGAACTAAAAAAAACCTGGAAGGAACAGGAATAAACTGTAAGTCCCCAATTGTTTTCCACAAATAGTCCTCTGTTAACATTTCTATTAGAAACATGGATAAAATTATATATTCACACTTCTCTCTCTTCAATTACGCTTCCTCTCTCCTCTCGTACTCATTTCCAAACCCGTCGCTAAGTTTGAAGCTCTAAACCCAAAACCGAAACGATCATTCATTTCACAATTTTTCATCTTCCTGGTGGAACCCAAAATCGAAATTAATAACCTTTTTGGATGAGTTTTATGAGTTAGTCGCAGGAAATTGCAAAGAAAACGAACATTAAAACTCATCCATGAAGGTTACTGGTTTTGATTTTGGATTCCACCAAGAAGACGAACAATTGGAAGAGGAGTGATGATTTCGGTTTTGGTTCAAAGCTTCAAACTCAGCGACGAGTTTAGGAAATGAGTGCAAGAGGAGAGAAGATGCTTAATTAAGGAGAGAGTAGTGTGAATTTATAATTTTATCTACGTTTTTAACAGAAATGTTAACAAAGAACCATTCGTGGAAAGCAATATAATAATTGGGGACTAAAATATTAGTATTTGATATGTAGATGGACTAAATATGTAAGACGAAGTATAACTGAGGACCTTTTATGTAATTTTCTCTTTGTTTTTTAACCTCTTTTTCGTGATATTTTAATACTATTCGCAGTTTGTTTATAATCATTTTTTGATTGTGCTCCCTCCGTTCCAAAAAGTCCTTCACGTTTAAAAAAAATGGTGTCCCAAAATCTCTTTTCCATTTATATCAAAAAATCACTTTTATCTCTTACTTTTTCATATCATACCTATCACATCATACCTTTTTTCTTAATAATCTATACATCACATTCTATTTTTTCCATCATATCAAAGGTATTTTTGGAAAATCAATATAAAATTATCTATCCTTATTTTGCCACTTTAGTCAATATGTCTCTCTCTTTTTGGGATGGATGATGTAGATTTTTATTAATACGGAGTAGTTTTTTTGAGTAAATTCCTAAAATAGTCCTTTGTAATAACGTGTTTTTTCAAATCAGTCCTCAATAAGTTTTAATTACCCACGTGGTCATCTATAATTGAGATTTATTCCCAAGATAGTCTTTCGTAAATAATGTTACTCAAATGATGATTAATTGGGAGTATTTTGGTAATTTTTATCCGCTAAATTTAGAATTAATTCTTAAAATGATCATTTATAATGAAGTGCTTTCCCAAAATTGTTTTTTCTAATTAGCCCTTTTTATTTGTCCACCATAGATCTTCTCATTACTTTTTTTAACAATTAAAATACCACAACTACCCCCACTTACTTTATTTATTACACCTCACCCACCTAATTTAATACTCCGTACACTCCACCCATTTTCATTAAGGGTATTATGGTAAACTTTCACCTTTTTTTAACTCTCCTTAAAAACCACAAAAGGTCAAAATGAGAAGATCTTAGGGGGACAGAGTGAGTATGTGTATTTGATTTGAAATTTAAAAGATTTTTTTATAAGTTTTAAATAATTCATGAATTATTTATAGTCAATGTATTTTTTAAATTTTACATTTGTTGTACAGAAATGACTGTTTCGAGAATATACTTTAAATTTGAATGATCAAAATACCAAAATATCTCTCAATTAATCATCATTTGAGTAACATTATTTACGAAGGACTATCTTGGAAATAAATCTCAATTATAGAAGACAACGTAAGTAATTAAATTTATTAAGAATTGAATTGGGAAAACGTCTATTACAAAGGACCATTTTGGAAATTCACTCTATTTTTTGTTAACATAAACGGAGTATCTTATTTACTTGTGTGGGCCATCTTTCCTTGAGCGATTTTCTATCATATTGTGACTTGGCCTGGGTTTTGACAAATTATTTTGGGTTGACATAGATGGGCTGGCATTGGCAGGATGAAATCCAGCTCACTTCTCAGAGACGAGGTTATGGCTCTATGGGTAGGATGACTGATACATTGAATTGAATAGAGTTTGGCGGGGCGGGGGGTAGCCAGTTTGGGTACTGATGCATTTAGAAAAGGATAATGTTGGGGTATCCTATTTGTGTTATGTGTACATACATAAAACATTAATTACAGAGTATTCATTTATTTGTGTATCTATATATTTTTTGACGTAGTCTTTAGAAAACATAGTGCTTCAATTTCCATTCTCAGTGAATTTTTAAACTGGTACTTTTTAATAAAATATTTTTTTCAAATTAGTCCTCAATAAGAAAAAATATTTGTATGAGTGATCCTTAATAACATAGATTTGTTCTCTAAATAATCTTTAATCGAAAATATCAGTTAAATGTGAGTTAAATAAAGGGTATTTTGTATATTTTATCATCTAGATCGACTTAAAGTATGTTCTCGAAATGCTTCTTTATAATTAAGTATTTTTTAAACTGATAATTACTGAGTATTTTCTCGAAATGGAGTCTATGAGACGACTCGAGAAGGAACTGTTCCTTTAGCAGTCAGGGACTTAATTTGAAAAGATCATTTTAGGAACTTATTCATAGTTTAGATAGTGAAAAATATTAATTGACAGAGAATCATTTAAGGAATTAATCTCAATTGTAAAAGAACATGTCAATACTTATTGCTTATTGAGGAACAATTTGAAAAACATCTTATTAAAAAGGACCGTTTTGAAAATTACTCTAAAATGTAATTCATTCTAAAATACAGAGTTTTTTTTGCAAATGATATAAAAATAAAAATATAACTTACATATTTAAAAAAAATATGAAGCACATCGAAATTCCATAATACAAATGGTAACATGACTATTTGTGAATTTTAGACTTCAAATATATATATATATATATATATATATATATATATATATATATATATATATAGACACACACGATATTTATTTTTCATTTTTTTACATGTAAAAATTAAATCTTTACTATATGGAGTATTAAATTTTAATTTCATTTAATTCATAATAAATTATTAATATAAATTTTTTTAATGATTTTTAATTTTTATTTTCTCATTTCATTTTTTGAGATTTTTAAATTTTAAATTTTATTTTTTTAGTATTTAATTTTTTTAACTTTTATTTTTATTTTTATTTTTTACATACTTCGTATATTATAAAATATCTTTCAACAAAAATGATTTTAAAAAAATTATTTTTCCTAACCGCCAAGTCCAAATGCTACTCCCTTTGGCATTTCAGATTTTGGCTTTTCGGATAAAAATGCCAAGTGAAAAAGTCATTAGCCAAACAATGATTTTGGCGGTTCGCTTGGTCAAAAAAGCCAAAGTCAGTCAAAGATGCCAAAAGCTATCCGAAATTCTGTTTTCCAAACACGGCCTTAATTTGCTTGAAAGAGAGAGACTCGTCACTTGTACTTGCCAAAAAATAGTGTTTAGAATGCACATTATTTTTTTGTACTTGTCATAATTCAAACTTAGGTGAATTTTATATAATCATGTCCTCTCGGCCAACTGGAAAATTGTACCAGATATTTTGATTTAATACAAGTATAAAATTTTATTGGATAATGATATTTGTACCGAAGGGTCTTGTACTTCATTTGTACACCGCATGGATGTACCAATATTTTGTGTTGGTGTAATGCTAATTTTTGTTAACCTCCAAATACTTTGTGTCATTGTAAATTTTTGTTAACGTACCAACACTTTATGTTAGTGTGAACCATCAAAATGTTAGTGTATACTTTTGGTGTAAGTTTAGAGTACAGATTTTGATGTAAGTGTAGCATGATCGAATTTTATTTTGTACTAACCACGAACCCAAAATATTGAATTGAATTTTTTTGAGATGGTTCAATTTTTGTGCAAATATGAATGAGCACTTATATATGTCTATACTTTAATTCAAAGGTTATAACAAAACCCTTTGAAAATCTTTAGTGCATAAATGATATCCAAAATACCACGTATTTCTAAAAACATGGGTAAATTTCACCAATGGTACCTGAACTTTAGCTGGAATTTCGAAGTGGTACCTGAACTTCAAATCCTTTCACAAAAATCCCTGAACTTACACAATCCTTTCACTAACTCCAATGCGGGGTCCCTGAACTTACACAATCCTTTCACTAATGGCTCATTAGTGAAAGGATTGTGTAAGTTCAGGGATTTTTGTGAAAGGATTTGAAGTTCAAGTACCACTTCGAAATTCCAGCTAAAGTTCAGGTACCATTGGTGAAATTTACCCCTAAAAACATACTCCGTAGTGAACATTTTGTAAAAGGATTACAACAAAGTTGGATTTTTTGGGATAAACATAGTTTTTTTAGAGAAGCTAAATAAATTTCCAAATCAACTTAGCTTAGCAATTACTCTATCCGTCTCTAAGTATTTAATTTCAAATTAAATAAAAATAAAATTAAATATTGATACAAGACTAGTTTTATTACTCCCTCTGTCCCACTTTGTTTGTCCACTTTTGATTTTTGGAACTGTTCATCTAATCACTTTGACTCATCAAATTTGCTCAATGTCTAAGCCTAAATATAGTCATGTGTGATCTTGTTTGATTTGTCTTAACATATAGATTATTAATATATAATTTCTATAATTTTTTAATATACAAATTACAAGATAAAATGGATTAAAGAAGTGCATTGGATGATGTGTAAAAATGAAAGTGGACAAATACTCTGGAACGGAGAGAGTATATAAAATGTTTTTAAAATATTATTTTATCTAATTAATATAAAATATGTATTTTATTTAATAACAGATCAAAATTAAAAAAAATGATTTATTAAAAAAAAACTCAAAACTAGAGAAATACTCCCCCCACATTTGGTTAAGGGGAGTAGAGTTTAGTTCAATTGAATTGTGTTCAAATCGCAATCAAACCAACATATGGAGTAGTAAATTTGGCACAGAGAACTGTTGCCCATTCATCAAAGGTTGAGCAATAATCTTAGCTTGATTTACAGGCTCTAAGCGGCATCCCGCAGAGGCAATCGTTGAAAATGAAAGACGACGCTTCTAGTTGATCGAACGGCCGGCCGGTAGGAATCGGGCCGCAGAGGTGGTTGTGGCTGACGTCGAAGTGGCCGATAAAAGAAGCCGTTTTGATCGAACTCGGAATATTCCCGCTCAGATTGTTGTACGATAAATCCATTACCATGAAGTAAGATTTAGGCACAAAAGCGTCCGGGATGTGCCCGGAAATTGCGTTGCGGCTCAAGTTCAGTATGCTGATATCGGAGGCGATCAACGTCGGCGGGATGTTGCCGGAGAATCTGTTCCCGTCGAGGTTTAATGTGGCGAGAACCGGCATGGTCCCCAGAGAAGCCGGGATTGGGCCGGAGAGCCGGTTCATGGAGAGATCTAAATCCGCAAGCCGGTAGATGAAGGAAACCGAATTGGGAATCGGACCGATGAGCCGGTTCCGGCTTAACAGAGCCCTGCTCAGCATCCTCAACCTCCCGAATGTTCTCGGGATCCCGCCGGAAAATCTATTGTTCCGGAGATCTAAGTGCTTGAGGGAGGTGAGATTGGCGATGGAGCGGGGAATCTGGCCATTGAGGGTGTTATCCGCTACGTTTAGAACCGTGAGACGGCTCAACCGGCCTATGTCGGCTGGCAGCCGACCGGAGAGCTGGTTCCCGATGAGGTCGATGATCCGGAGGTACGACAAAGAAGAGATACACTCCGGGATGGTTCCAGAAACACCCTTCCAGTCGGCGATGATGAGGCTGGAGAGCCACTCGAGTTTACAAATCTCCGGCGAGATGGAACCGGTCATGTGACCGGTCTGGTTCGCCAGAATCGGGTCTTCGGATTCGCCTCGCAGGGTGATGTCAGCAACTCGGTGGGTGGATGGGTCACAGCTAACTCCGTACCACCCCTTGCAGCAGTCTCCGCCATTCCACGTCTTGAATATCCCCAAGTTGGCTTCTCGGAGGCCATTCTTCAAGGCCAGCAGCGCCGCCTTATCAGACGGCGGGCACGCGTACACCGCTGAGAATATCGCCGTCAACAGCAGGGACCTTACGAACTGGACGCTAGCCATATCTGATGAATCTATCTCTTTATCTCTCTGTAGTCTATATCTATATATAACTCGAAGCGCCACTCTACCGGTAGCTATGTAGGCTGTTTGGCAACTTCTGCTGAACCAGTAAGAGGTCTGAACCATTAACTGCTGAACCAGTAAGAGGTCTGAACCATTAAGAGCTAGTATATTGCTTAACTATTCAGAGGCAAATGTCTGATCAATTCAGATAAGAGGTCTTAATCATTCAGACTCTGTATAATACTTAACCATTCAGAGGCAAATCTCTTAACCATTCAGACATCTGAACCATTAAGAGGCTGAAACAAACAGTCTGAACCATTAAGTGCTGAACCATTAAGAG